CCCCCTCTCCTCTTCCCCTCTCTTTTGGCCCGCCAGTCACCTACAACTCGTCTCTGAAATTGGCCGAGCCGAGCCAAGTTTTATTAGTTTCCGAAATTTGCTGGTCTAATTATCCTCCTTGTTGTTTTCTGGATTTGTGTTTCGCTGGGCGTCTTTCTTGTTTTCCTATTGTTTTTTGTTGTTTGTTCATGTATTGATTGTTTTTAGGTGCGCAAGTCGCATTTCTGGGCATTGGTCCTCGGCAGTAATCGGATTTACTCAGCTAAAGGATTGAAAAGCACCCCGAAATGTTCGGCCGAGGTAACATTTCCTTTTTTTTTTGATTATCCAAATGCTTGTTAAGATGTCTTCAATAGGAAGTGCAGTGGGGACGGGTAACCCGGACACAAGAGGCACAGATACCCAGGAGATGAGGGGCGGAAGATGGGGTCCACAATGTCCTCCCGTAAATTCAGCCTTCCCGTAGCCACGGATAACACGTATGAGCCTGGAAAAATTTTGGCGGAGAAAATTATTATCTCGGGACACCGCTTATCTGGTGGAGAGACTAATTTTTTATATGATCATAAAGAGTACGCCAAGCATCCTTCGCTCCATGGTTTTCCCCGCACAGTTGACCTTCGATGGGCTGTCTTTTGATAAAATGAAAGGTTCATTTTTTTCAACAGAGCGATAATAAAGAAAAAGGTACGGTTTTTTGGTTCGGCATTCTCAGGATATCGGTGATGCTGTGCAATATGCGCCAATTTGCGTTCCTCGAGTTTGATCCAAATCATCGCTTTTTCCTTGAACTTTGTCTTTTTCCCCGCAAATTGGCCGTATTCAGTTTTATCAAGTGGAGCAGTCATGCGGTTTTATGAATAAATATGGTCTTATCGAATTTTCAGTTACAGGTGACGAAGGAATTACGGAAAGTCCCACTGGATACATTGTGGCAGATCCGAAGGACCTTCTCAGTGGACGCTGCAGACGTGGAAATTCAGAATCTGGTGGGTGCGCTCATAGATTTGATTGTGTGTCGATCGTTTACTTTTTCTTATAGATGTAATCGAACCTTTTTACCAATTTCTGGCTTGCGCATATATTCTGAGCAATTGCTAAAACTCGGCTGGGCTCGGCTCGGCCGCGAAAAATGCACTCGTTTTTGGATTTGGATGAGAACTGTAAAAATTTTGATCGTACACGAGTACCCAGCTTTTTTATTCTAGCGTGATTTTGAGGCGTAGGGACGAGCTTACTAACCTTTACGCAGTGTCTAGGTATTGTTGAACACCATAAGCCTGTAGAACTCCCTTCAAGTCATTTTATAATCCTACCTATGCTTCAAACTCCTACCTTCATCTAAGATCTCAGCTCCTTTCCATTCAGTGTTCTAGTCATCTCACTTCTTTTGTGACCCCGAGCATTCCTGCGCTTTCCCACCCGTTTCTACGTACCTCTGTCGCTGCCTCATCATTTGAGAGGGTGTGCCAGAATCGTCGCAATTCGCCTCCCAACCCGTCCAAATGGAGCCGAATTTTAGTAATTTTCTGAATCGAATATTTTTTTTTTTGCGGTCTAAACGTGTGTGTGTGTGGAAGTTCGAATTGCTCAGAACAAACTGGAAGGATCGAAGATGATGTAGATAAGTGCAATTGCTTCCTGCGCACATTTTTTGTCAGAAAAGAGATTTTTTTGCAACAAAGTAAACAAACTTCCATTATAATGAGTTTCACAGCTCTGTTTTAGTTCGACAGCTTTCTTTGCGAATTCGCGTTACCGAAGAAGAACTTAAGAAATATCGATCGAAAAATGATGAATTAACGAAAACTGTTGCGAAAATGTCGAAAGAAATGCAGAAGTGTCAAGCTGAAATGGAAAATCTTCGAAATGCTTCAAAACAGCAGATTAACGAACTTGAACAGCAAATTGCTACGAAGAAGCGCGAGGTTTTTTTTTTAAATTTTGATTTTTGGTGATATTTTGAACTCTGATTTTTGACGGAAGTAGAAAAAAATAGATTTATTTTTTTATGCGTTTTGTGCTGTGTAACAGCAGTACAAAACGCATATTGTCACGGGATTGTGTGTGTGTGTGTGTGTGTCCGCAGCAACTTGTCCGCAACTTTCAACTCGGAAATCACAAAAGCTAGAAAGCTGAAATTTTAGGGGAACGTCCCCCACCCACCTTGACCCCGCAAATTTAAATTCAGCTCCCCCGTACCGCGGGTAACACAAGCGGCCCCGTAAAAGTTTTTTTATGTGTAAATTAATATCTCGGGAATCACGGAGTCTAGGCGGCTGAAATTTTAGGATGATGACCCCCTGCCAACGCTCAACCTTGCCCATTCAAATTCAGCGTTCTTATGCTCTCGGGTACCACCTACGGCCTCGTGAAAATTCTGGCGGGTAATCTATTAACTCGGGAGTCACGGAAAGATATTCATCCTTCAGACTTCTGAATTCAGCTTTCATACGCTGATGCGTGAAATTTTTAACTGTTTTCCAGTGTTTGAACTATTTTTGCTCAGACTAAAGTACAAAGCAGTGAAAATCATTAAGAGGCAATCGTTCGATAGGTTGAATTGCACAAAATGCATGATCGCACCGACTATTCTGGTGCGCGTTCCCATTTATTCTATTTTCTTGCGATATTTTACTTGAATGAACTTTTACATGTTAAGCTTAAATTCAGCGCAGAATGATTGGTACACGTAAGAAAGAAAATAACCATTAGGGCAGCTTCTTGAGAGGTCCCAGTAACAGCACCCACCATGGAAATACTGATAGCCTGGGCGGTCTTGGAATCCTTTTATATACTTTTTTTCGAAATTTAATACGATTTCTGCTGGTTTTTATAATTTCACTAGGAGGATTTGGTAATTTAATTTTTCTTTTATGATTTTATTTTTTTTGCAGGCATTATCGAGTAAATTTGGCACCGTCATGTCTCTATTACAAAGTGCTGCAGGTATTCTTTTTACTTGGTTCTTTCAAATATTGCTTGCTTTGAAACTCTGAATATTTGGCTTTTTATTGTACTGCTTGTTATTGCTGGCAGTGCCGTTTAGTTTTGAGCTCGACTCATCCATTTGTTTTCATGTGGATATTCAAGTACGGAGTTTTTTATTTGGAGTTTTTTATCGTGCGAATGTCGTTCATCAGTTTACTTTGTCTATTTGTTTTTTTCATTCTCTTTACTTAACGAATCCAGCTTTTTTTTGACATATTTAAGCCTATTGTTTGTAATTTAACTGTAGAATTAACTATTGGAAATTGTCATTTTGATTACTTTTTTTTAAAATTTTCACGCTGTGAAATTAGCTTTAGTAAATCTTGAAATCAAAAAAAACTTTGTTTTACTTGACTGGCTTCGTTTTGAAGATTCGTTTCGGGTATAATTCTGATGATTTTTTAGGTGTTCAACAAGTCAGTGAGCCGCCATTTTTAGTTCCGGATACGCCTAAACCAGAAACTTCGGATGCGCAATCACAAACTGATGAGCTGCTATTAGGATCGTTAGCAAAAAGGGACAGTACAGGTACCATATTTTTCGTATGTGGTTGCATTCCAATGCCGGTGCTGGTGTCAGGATTTCACATCGATTGTCCGTATGGTGTTGCTTTTTCTGATAGTTTTGAATATCAGGAAATAGGTATACGTGCGGCTTATTTTCATAACCATGCAAAATGAAGACAATTTAAAATAAGACACTAAATATCTTGTAAAAAGATTTTTGGTCTGCTATGTATTACTTGTTTGAAGATTAAGAAACCTCTATCTTATTTTGCATTTTAGTTTTTCGCTTTTTTTTTTTTGCATTCGTTTAGCTCGGACTCGAAATCGACAGATCTTCAATTCACGAATGTAACTTCATTGCAGATGCTGCGAAATCTAGCGTGGATTCGAAATCATCAGCCATCAGCTCAGAAGATATTCACAGGTTAACGGGAAAAATTGCAACACTAGAAAACGAAAAATTCGTCTTTACAACGCAGCTAAAATTAGCAAGGTTTTTTTCATCGTTGGTACTTTCTTCAGTATTTGCTTTGGCTTATTATTAAGGTTTTTTTTGCGCAATTTTTTGGCGCAGCGTAGCTTGACAGCAATATCAAAGGCTCCAATATCCCTGTACCTGGGAATTACAGTTTTCGGGAAATCTGAAAATATTAATATTGTATCATTTCTTAATTTCTAAAATTATTAATATTGTTTCTTAATTACACAAATTTTTCAGTTTTCTTTTTTTCTGATAGCATTTGTTCATATTGTATATTCATAGTCAAAACGATCTTTTTAAAATAATTAATCGCGCTGGACGAAAACTCTGCAGAGATCTGTGCTTCCACTCTTTGCTTTTATTAGCTGTGATTTTGTCCACAAAATCGGTGTGGCAAATTTTTCCATAATTATCGTCACTGGAATTTCATCATTGAATGTTTAACCGTTTGGTGATCTTAGCTTTCGTCATTCTTACTTTTCCTTTTTTTTCCGCAACAAAAAAAAAATTAGTTGTGTCACTGTTTTCATGTAATCTGAATATAATGGCTTTTGCTTTTATGCTTTTCAGGAACAAACTGGAAAATTTAGAGCTACTTGAAGCGCAGAAAAAAATTCTGGAAGATCGTGTTGTAATTTTGAACGATATGAATGACTGTTTAGTGGTAAGGTTTTTCTTTTTTTTCAGCGATATTTTGTTCAATATGGTGCTGATTATACTAAGCTGCCTCGCAATTTTATGAGCGAATACTGATATTTCTTTTTTTGATTCGTAATCGTCAGATGATGGCAGAAACCGGAATTCTTGGTTTCTTAAGATCAGGGACCAAGTTATTTTGTTGTTTTGCAGAGTGCTGCAGTTAGACCAGTAGTGTATATTCCTTAATTGCTTGAGTCGTCTTGACTGAAATATATTTCTACAAAAAGTTATGCCATATTTTGATCATCGATGTTGCTCGACAGCTAATCCAACATGCTCCGTTTTGGGCTCACTGTATTCTTTCAGCTCGAAACAAGCATTACAGTCGAATTCTTTTGTACCGGCCTTACTGAGATAAATTACCTGAAATGCCTCGAATAGCCGTTTTGTACAGCTCGCAGTCTTTTCCCGCATCTGCATTTTACGGTCTGGTAGTCACTCTTAGGCGCGATTTGAAGCGATAAAATCAAAAG